AAGCCAGCAAAAAAAAAAAAAAATAGAAAACAGTGCAATGTCTCTCAGCAAGGGCATGGGTAAATAAACCTCGGCGCATTTGTACAATGGTGCCACGCGGGGAGAATGACCGGCACTGGTCTTTGTGTATTCACCCAAACCCTTCCCACAAACACAGGTTTCCAGAAAAGGCAAGCACGCGTCTTTCCGTAACAACAGGATGCCCTTTATCTAAAGTTAGGAAATGGAGCTCAACCAAGCAATGTCTAGTAGTAGATAGATATTCAATATACCCCCCCACACACACACACACACAGAGCTGTAGGGCTGGACACGGTGGCTCATGCCTGTAATCCTGACTACCCAGGGGGCTGAGATCTGAGGATCTCCCTTTGAAGCCAGCTGGGGTTACTTGGAGATTCTCATCTCCAATTCACCACCCAAAAGCCAGGAAGTGGAGCTGTGGCTCAAGTGGTAGAGCACCAGCCTTAACTGGTAAAGTTCAGGCCCAGGCCGTGAATTCAAACCCAGTATGGACACACACACACACACACACACACACACACTCCTTGAAGACTGAAAAAGGAGCTGAGGGGTGGAATTCGGGGTATGATGACACAGGGGAAAATACCGTTACACCTGTAGAAATGGCGGGGGGGGGGGGGGGGGGGCAAGGGACAGACAAGAGCCAGCCTGGGTGGTCAGGAAGGGCAAGAGACAGGGAGGAGGAAGAGGAGGAGGAGGAGGCCACTCCTGTCATCCTAGCTACTCAGGAGGCTGAGATCTGAGGACTGAGGTTGGAAGCCAGCCTAGGCAACAAAGTCTATGAGCTTCTCCTCTCCAATGAACCACCCCCCAAAAAGCTGGAAGAAGAGGTGTAGTTCGAGTGGCAACAGAGCTCAGGGACAGTGCCTAGGCCTTTAGTTCAAGACCCAGACTAAACATGCATGGTGGGGGGGGGGGGGAGGGAAGGAGGGGGGAAGGGACTTACCTACAAATTCTGAGTAACACATTTATCCTTCGCATCCCAAAGGCCCCATTCACAGACGGGCGCACGATTTCCATCATTAAACACATGACCATCACTCATACATTATACTTTTTCCTTATGTTGTATGATGTAAGTTGAGATGCCTGGATTTTAAACAGTGAATGTAAAACAAACAAACAGCATTTCCCTTTATGAAAGAATTTATAGTATTGAGAAAAGGAGGAGGAAGAGGAAGAGGAGAGGGGAGGGGAGGGAGGGGAAGGAGGAGAAGGAGGGGAAGGAGGAGAAGGAAGAAGAGGAGGAGAGGGAGGAGGAGGAAGAGGAGGAGGAGGAGGAGGAGGAGGAGGAGGAGGAGGAGGAGGAGGAGGAGGAGGAGGAGCAAACACCAGGATGGAGCCCTCCCAGAATTCATCCACAACCCCCCCAACGGAAGCCCCATAGCTGGGCACCACTTTGGTATGGAGGAAGGAAACCACCTGCATCCCTGCTCCAAAAGCGGCCCTCTGTGGGTTTTGAAGGGGGGCTGTGTGCCCTGGGGTATGTTCCCAGCAGTGGGAGACGTCCCAGAAAAGCAGGCAAATTACCTGATATTTTGAATGGGGGTGGGGGGAGTGAATTCTGGAGTGCCTGGCTCCCCTCTAAGCCTGGTGGTTGGGTGGGGGTCATCCTCAACCTCCCCCCCACCCAGTCCTCCCTCCTTTCTATCTCAGAAGGCAAATCAGAGGCCTGAGCAGAAAGGATGGGGTGTCTGGAGATGGCCAGGGGGCTACAGACAAGATGGGAAGGTGAGATGTGTGTGTGTGTGTGAGAGAGAGAGAGGGAGAAAGAGAGAGAGAGAGAGCCTCAGGCAGCCCCGAGGGAGGAAGCGTGTTTATTAACAGGCATGGAGCTAACCCTACACCTGTGTGGCCACTCATTTAGCTCCCCATTTTCCACAAAGCATTCTGACCTCTCCTTGGTCCCTGGGGTGTTGGGGATGGGGGGGGGCATCGCTTCAAAGGACACCTAACCGTGGGTTTCCCACGCAGCACAGTTCCTCTGAGAGATGGGCTCTCTGTGAACAGACTGCTGTTCTGTTTGTGGGGGGCAGGTGAGAAGTCACCCCCTGGAACCAAGGTTTCAAAGAATGAAGGCGATTGGAACAAATGTCTCTTCTGGGCCTGTGGTGGTTGTTTTTGTTGTTTTCCTTCCAAGTCCAAGATACAATTGTGCACATGGAAAGGAAGAGGTGTGTGTGTGGGGGGGAGGGGGGGAATGGTGAATGGAAGGGGAAAAAAGGAAAAGAAGAGCATTAAAGAAGGAAAGGAAAAAGGGAGAGGGGTTGTTGGGACAACAGTGGCTGTCTGTCTGCAGATGTGTTATTTTTCTCATCAACAATTTCAACCCTCACGCCTTGCACACACACACACACACACACACACACACACACGTGCGCATGCGCACACACATATGCATACACATACACCTGCATTTCTAGCAGTCCCCTATCACTTTGGGAGATAGCTTGGCCAGCCCAGCTTCTCCAGGACAGACCCTTCTTCCCTCAGATTGCCACCCATGGTACCCTTGCCCACCCATAAACACACTCCCTCACTCACCGAAAGGCCCTGGGAGGAACAACAACCAAAGTATCCACTTGTATATCCAAGTAAGCAGCACACTGCACACACGTGACACCTAGGACCATAGGGACCCAGAACCAACTAGGTCCCCCCCCAGGAGCAAAGCAAGGTCAGCCACAATTCAGGAGATGCCAGGACGGGGTCCCCAGCCGCCCATCATCCTGTACCCAGCTCCCACCCATCCGTCCATCTACCCATCCACCCACCCATCCATCCATCCATCTCCATCCATCCATCCACCCACCCATCCATCCATCCACCCACCCATCCATCTCCATCCATCCATCCATCCATCCATCCATCCACCCATCTATCCATCCATCCACCCACCCACCCATTCATCCACCCATCCATCTCCATCCATCCATCCATCCACCCATCTATCCATCCATCCATCCACCCACCCACCCATCCATCCACCCACCCACCCATCCATCTCTACCCATCCATCCATAAACCAACCCATCCATCCATCCACCCATCCATCCATCCACCCATCCATCCATCCATCCACCCATCTATCTCCATCCATCCATCCATCCACCCATCTATCCATCCATCCATCTACCCACCCATCCATCCATTCACTCACCCACCCATCCACCCATCCATCCATCCATCCACCCACCTACCCACCCATCCATCCATCCACCCATCCATCTCTACCCATCCATCCATCCATCCACCCACCCACCCACCCACCCACCCATCCATCCCTGGCTGAATCAATGACAGCGCCTCCAGAGGAGGGGGAGAAGGCCTGGGGCTTCTCCAAGGGGTCTCACGATCGAATTTTCCTTTCTTTCCTTCCTCTCAACCAGCACACAAGCTCTGCCATGCCCCCCCCCCCCCCGCCGCTAATCTCTCCCCCCCACCTTGGCCATCCCGCCCCCCATCCCGTCTCCACACGCGCCCCAAGAAGCGCAAAGTTCTTTTTCCTTTTCCTCTTTTTCTTCTTTTTTCTTTCACCTCAGGCTATGGGGGAGGTGGGGGGGGGAGGGCCGCACACACCCCCGTCCTGGCTGGGGAGAGGGGGCGCGCTCTCCACCCGATGGTGTGGGGAGGGGCCTCATCCCTCTCCAGGCCTTCCTCCCCCCCAAAAAAGGGGGGAGAGATTGAGAGAGAGAGAAAGAGAGAGAGAGACAGGGGTGAACCCCGCCGGGTTTATGAGTTAGATTCCTCCTGCTCCCCCCCCACCCGAGGCTCTGGGTGGGGGTCGGGGATGGGGGGGTCGGGGTGGAGAGGGGGTAGGGGGGTCCCGGCTGGGACTGCGGTGACTCGGAGCTGAGCTCGCCCGTGCGCCCGGCCGGGGCGCCGCCGCCCTGACGCAAGCGGAACTCGGCGGAGCCCCGCACGGCGGCGCGGGGCGCGGGGCTGGGTCCCGGGCGCCCAGCGGTTAGCGGGGAGGGGGGTGGCAGGGGGGTGGGAGGAAGAGGAGGAGCGGGGGTGGGGGGGAGGTGGGGGGGAGGACTCCGGCGAGGCAGATCCGACCGGAGACGCGGCGGGGTCGTGGCTCGGGAAACCCAGGAGGAGGAGGAGGAGGAGGAGGAGGCGGGGGGGGGGGGGGGAGGAGGCGGAGACTTGGCCCGGGGCGGGGAGGGGCCGCGGGGCCGGAGCCCTCCCCCTCCTCCCCGTCCCTCGGAGGAGGAGGAGGAGGAGGAGGAGGAGGAGGAGGAGGAGGGCGGCCGACTCCCCGATGGCCCGGGAGAGGCTGACTGCGCTGCGCTCCCGCCGGCCTCCCCCCCCATCCCCGTCACTCCCTGGAGGGAGGGGGGAAGGAGAGGAACGGGGCGGGGGGGGGGCAGGGGGAGGAGAGGGAGGGGAAAGGCGCAGCCAGCGCCGAGCGAGCCCGGAGCGAGCGGGGCCTGCGGCCAGCCCCCCGCCGCCGCCGCCGCCGCCGCCGGCCCGCACCCGCGCGCGCGCGCCCCGCACCGACTCCGAGACGATCGCGCCGGCCGTGCGCGCCCCGCCCGACCAGCGCGGTTTTCTTAGACGTCTCCCCCCCCCCCCCTTCCCTCCGTCCCTCCACCCCGCACCCTACGGGGGAGAGAGACAGACAGACAGGGAGACTTGGACGGATCTCACGGGGTGCCACACACACACCCTCCTTCCCGGACTTCTCTTAAGCGCCCTGCGCCCAGCGGCGCCCCACGACTTGGGGAGGGGGGGGGAGAGAAAGAGAGGCGGAGACGAGAGCGAGCGAGCGAGCCACGATCCCCGGGCCGCGGCCGCGCCGTGCGCCCCGACTGGGAAGCGACACCCCTCCCTTCCCCATACGACCTCTCCGGGGGAGGGGGGGTCACCGCCCCCCTCCTCCTCCCTCCCTCCCCTCCCTGCTCCCCAATAACCCGGCCTCGGCGCAGCAGCTCCCCCCCTCCCCACCCCCGTCCCCACACCCCGGACACACCATGTCCAGCTACCCGGAGCCGGAGGACGGGGCAGCGGCGGCGGGGACCCGGCCGGCCCCGGACACCACGGGCCGCGGCGGCGGCGGAGGCCGAGCGTCGTCCCGGGAACCGGAGGAAGCGTCGTCGAGCCCGAGCCGAGGCGGGACGGGGAGCGGCGGAGGCCCCGAGAAGCCGGACCCGGCTCAGAAGCCCCCGTACTCGTACGTGGCGCTGATCGCCATGGCGATCCGCGAGAGCGCCGAGAAGCGGCTGACGCTGTCGGGCATCTACCAGTACATCATCGGCAAGTTCCCGTTCTACGAGAAGAACAAGAAGGGCTGGCAGAACAGCATCCGCCACAACCTCAGCCTCAACGAGTGCTTCATCAAGGTGCCGCGCGAGGGCGGCGGCGAGCGCAAGGGCAACTACTGGACCCTCGACCCGGCCTGCGAGGACATGTTCGAGAAGGGCAACTACCGCCGCCGCCGCCGCATGAAGCGGCCCTTCCGCCCGCCGCCCACCGCGCACTTCCCGCCGCCCAAGGCCTTCTTCGGGCCGGGCGGCGCGGCGGCGGCGGGCGGCGCGGGCGGCCCGGGCGCCGCCTGCGGGGTGGGCGCTTTAGGAGCCGGCGGTGGCGGCGGCGGCGGCGGCCTGATGCCGGGCGCCGTGGATGGGTATGGGTACCACCATCACCACCACCATCACCACCACCCGTTGGGCCCCCCCAAATACCTGCAATCGGGGTTCCTCAACAACTCGTGGCCGCTGCCCCAGCCGCCCTCGCCCATGCCCGGTTACGCGTCCTGTCAGATGGCGGCGGCGGCGGCCGCGGCGGCGGCGGCGGCGGCGGCGGCCGCGGCCTCCACCGGACCCGCCGCCGCCGCCGCCGGGGGTCCCGTCGCCGGGGGTGGAGCGGCGGCGGCCGCCGTGGTGAAGGGGCTGACCGGCCCCGCCGCCGCCGCCGCCACCTACGGGCCTTACTCCCGCGTGCAGGGCATGGCGCTGGCCCCCGGCGTGGTGAACTCCTACAACGGCCTGGGAGGCCCACCGACCGCGCCCCCGCCGCCGCCGCCGCCGCCGCCGCCGCCGCCACCTCCGCCTCCGCCGCCGCCGCATCATCTGCCTCCTCCGCCAGCCCCGCCGCCGCCGCACCACGGAGCCGCCGCGCCGCCCCCCGGGGGTCCGCTGAGCCCCGCCAGCCCCGCCGCCGCCGCCGCCCCGGGCCCCGCGGCCCCCGGCGCCCCCGGCCTGCAGTTCGCCTGCGCCCGGCAGCCCGAGCTCGCCCTGATGCACTGCTCGTACTGGGACCACGACGGCAAGGCGGGCGCGCTGCACCCGCGCCTGGACCTCTGAGGAGCCGCGCGGGGTGCGGGATGGAGAAGGAAGCGGGGGCCGGGGGGATGGAGCGGTGCGCGCCGTCGGGGCGCGGGAAGGAGGGGACACGGAGGAACCCCCGCACCCCGCCCACCACCACCACCCCATCCTCCTCCTCCTCATCATCACCACCACCGATCACCACCACCACCACCACCACCCCGATCTCCGGTGCCCCGCGCGCTGCTCCACCGGCCCAGGTCGCCAAGCCCCGCGCCCCACCGGCGCACGCGCGCGCGCGCGTCCCGTCTACCTAGGCCTCGTCGTCTTCGTCGGTCGTCTACCGCCGGCGGGACCCGGATGCACGATCCGAGTCCCCACCACCACCACCACCACCACACACACACTCACACCTCCCCTCAAAACACAGTCACCCAGGAGAAAAGAGAAGAGAGAGGAGCACGGAGCAGCCGGGCCGTGGAGACGCCGCGCACGCACGCACGCACGCACGCGCACTCCGGCTGGACTCTCGGTTTCCCGCGCTCTGCCCGAACCCGGTCTCCCCCCACACACCCCACCCCACCCCACTCCGGGGAGGGGGTGCGCGCGGGCCCCACGGCCTCGAGGTGTGGGGGGGACAGAAGTCGCCCCTGGTGATGGAAAGGTGTCCAACCCGGGGAACACCCTCCCACTCTCCCCGCCGCAGACCCCACCACCACCATCATCATCATCACCATCATCATCATCATCACCAGCGCCCCATCATCCCGGACCTCGAAAGCCCATTGCTTCCCCTCTCTTCCCCCCCAAAAAAAAACAAAAAGGGGGCCTTGGAGTTCTCTGCGCTGTGGACATCTCCAGACTCTGGCGACTGGAGTCTTGCTAAAGGGGAAAAAAAGAGAAAGAGAGAAATCGGTGAGACTTTTTAAAAGATACTACTAAAAATAGATATCTATTTCTAAGGAGGAAAAAAAAATATTCACCGGGGAGGGGGAAGAAAATGGAAAAAAAAAAAAAGAAAGAAACTGGTAAGGTTTTTGGTTTTGGGGTTCCCTCCCACACCTTTGGCTTGGCCTGGCGGTGATTGTGGTGTTTGTTCCATGGAGAAAGAAGCTTTTTTTTTTTTTTCTTTTCTTTTCGCGTCGTGTTCGTTCCTCAGTTCCTCTTCTGGGATAGAAAATGCAGTAGAATTTCTCCCCCCCACCCCCCCCCACCAGGCTCCCCCCAAAATCAGGCCTTCCGAGAGAGAGCTGTGTTGGGGAGGTAAGACCAGGAGAGCTGTGCAGAAGGAGGTTTGGTGTGGTTTTCTTGGGTTGTTTTTTTGGTTTTGGGGGGGCGTTGTTTGTCTGTCGATCGAACCCAGGGGAAGTTGATTCTCTCCTTCTCTGAAAAATAAAATAAAATAACATTAGAAGAAAAAGGAAGATTTTCCTTCCTCCCCCCTCCATCTCCTCCGATTCCAGCCCCCATGCCTGGCCGGCTCACCAAAAACAAAAAGCAAAACAGGACAGGAAAAATCCTCCTCGGTTTTCTTTTTCTTTTCTTTTCCCAAGGTCTTCTTTTCCCCCCCACCCTGCACCCAGGGAAGAAGAAATGTGAAACTTCGTGTCTCCCTGTCCAGCCCAGACAAGCTTTTCTGTGTTTGTGTGTGTGTGTGGCAGGGAGCTCACGGTCCTGAAAAGCCTTTGACCTGGTTGTTGTCCTGTAAGTGTGTTTTGTTTTGAGGGACCAAATTTTCCAGACAGCACTTTTGTCTTAACTTGTGCGTGAGTGCACGCGCGCGTGTGTGCCTTGTCGATTCCTGAATAAATTTTCGATGGTTTTTCTTTTGACACGGACTTAGCATTATTTCCCTTGCGCCCTACTTCAGCAGCTACATAAAAGCAAAAACGTTCTTCGCTCTCTCTCGGTCTCTTTCTCCCTCCCCTCCTCACCCCCTGCAGGATTGAGAGATTCTTAAGGGTGGCTGGCTTTTGCAGTTGGTGCTTTGTTTTCTTAGAGATTGTTTTCGGTGTTAACGCTCCTTGTGTGGAAGCTGTTTGACCTCAGCAGCCTTTTTGTCTGCTGTCGTTGGATAGCTAAGGGTGTCTATTCCTCCCTGTCACCCCACCTCCCCGCACCCATTTAGAGTCTGCCTCCTCCTAGGCATAAGGGCTGTATTATTATTATTATTATTGCTTACATACTTTTAAGGGTTTTGTTTTGTTTCGTTTCACCCTAGTATCACAGCTTTGAGGGCATTATTCTCGGTGCAAGCTCCTAGTTTCTTTGAGGAATGACCTATTGCTTGATTCTTCTTCTTCTTTTTAATCGTCAGAAGTCATCCATGTTGAGGGTTTCAGAGGAGAACTGCATGAGACTATGGGACTCCAGAAATCAAATCCTGGGTCTTTCTCTTCCGGGACTACGATCTTCAAATAACAAATTAAGAACCAGGCTTCCCTGTCTGCACATAAAGTATTTGACTCACTTGTAGCCTAAATTTCCCTCTGCCGCCGGGGGTGGGAGGTACAGATTAATGCCTGCGTTCATTTTTTTTTTTTTTAAATTTTTGGATAGGATGACAGGTAGGGTCTATCATGTTGTCCCTGGGACATAACAGCAATCAGATCCTCTGCCCGACCACCTTCTTCTTCCTCCTCCTCCTCCTCCCCGGCCTGGTCTCTGTAGCAAAGGTGGTTAATCTGGGCTGGAAACAGGGGTAACCCACAAGGATTTAAACTCTCAGATTAGCCCTCCGAGGTTCAGGCTGTGGGAGTATCAGGGTGATTCGCTGCCCCAGGATTCTTTGTTCTGGCCACCATAGAGGTAGTGCAGGTAGTGTTTGATTGCCTGGCTGAAACGGGGACTGGAGCCTGCTGGGTAGAAAGCTTGAATCACAGACTAGGAACCCAGGTTCTGTTGGGGCTGACAGTTTAAGAAGCTGGTGTGGTCTTGTGTGAGGGTGTTTCGGGGACCCCCGGTGTTCCAGAGTCTGGGTGACACCGGGAGTTAAGAGAGAGCCACTCTGGGTGGTGTGAGCTGGCCGGCTGGCTCCTGCTTTCTGTGGTCATGTATAGTCTGTGCCCGCTGCAAATGTTGCATGCATGCATTCATGCCCTGACCCGGTGACAGGCTAGGGGTGTGTGTGTGTGTGTGTGTGTGTGTGTGTGTGTGTGTGTGTGTGTGTGTGATTCACCTGCACAGAAGGCACCTACTGGGGGGGGGTTGTAAACACCACATGGGTGACATGTAGGGGTGTCTCCTAGAACCACAGTGAAGTCACACCTCGTGGTGCGAACCTTGCGGGTTCAAAACACAACTTGTCCTTCACCGGCCAGAGGCTCGCTGCTGCCGCCGCCGTTCCAAGACTGTCTGTCTGTCTGTCTGTCCGTACCCCTTCAGCTGTCATGCCGAATGAAAGAGGCTGGTCAGGACAGCCTCTCGGAGGCTAAGCCTCTCTCCGGTGGGCAGGTGGTTGCCCTCCTCCTGCAGATGGGGAAATGGGCTAAGCCGGACTCTGAGCCAAGGCAGGAAAGCCCCCCACCAAGTTAGGGGGTAAAACGAAGGGATCGCAGGGGTGAAGTGTTCGAAGGGATCAAGGAGGGAGCAGAGCCTAACAGCACTTTCCCAGAGCTTTCTGAAAGCTCTGAATCTTGGCCCTTTCTTCCCCTCCACTGCGGTTTGAAGCGAGAGCAGATTTTCTTCACGTCTCCCGCCTGCCCCGTCTTTCGTCTTTCCTCTCCCTCGATGCCCTTCAATCGAAGAAGCTGAGTTAGACATTTTCCTCCGTGGAAACAAAAGTTAAAGAGAGTTCCTGACCTGCTAGCGTTCATACTTTAACAGACACAGTCTACCTTTGGATGGCCAGCAGGCCGTGTGTGTGTGTGTGTGTGTGTGTGTGTGTGTGTGTGTGTGTGTGTGATTGTATATGTAAATACATGGTGAGTAGAATTCGGTACAAATGCTGATTTCTGAAGTCCTGGGTAATGAGTGGCTATACAAGAGTTGAAAGATTTATGCATGTGTGTGCGTGCGTGTGTAAAAATACCTTCTCTGTAACCACTGGTGCATTGAGCCCTTTGCATGTCATTTTTTTTTTCGTTTTTGTCGGGGGATTTTTTGGTGTTGTGTGTGCCAATCCTGGGCACTGTCCCTGAGGGTTTTTTTGGGGGGTTTTGTTGTTGTTGTTTGTTTGTTTGCTTGAAGCTAGCGCTCTACCCCTTGAAACCACAATTCCTCCACCTCCAGCTTTTTGGTCGTTCATTGGAGATAAGAATCTCACGGACTTTCCTGCCCAGGCTGGCTTGGAACCCTTGATCCTCAGATCTCAGCCTCCTGAGTAGCTAGGATAACAAGCATGAGCCACCAGTCCCCTGGCCTCCCTTCGCATGTAAATACAAATTCTTTACTCCCACGTCCCCTAAAATGGCCCAACATAAGTGGGTTGGGAGAGAGATACACGGTTCTCAGATGGGACTAGAGACTAAGAAAAGATAGGAATGGAACTTAGGGAGCTGTAGGATGGCTCCCCAACACTGCCCAGAGCTCCCACACATTCACACAGAGTAACCTGGGCTCCTCACCCCAGGTTTGACTGGCAACAAATTAAAAAAGAAAAATCTTTCACCAGAGGTTAGGTGCGTCCAACCTTTTACCCAAGACAGAAAGATAGGGTATGTGGAGCCCCCTGGTGGTGGGTGGAAATTGGGGGGCAAGAGACCATGAACCCTGAAACTTTCTAAGACTGAGCTCTGGAGACCCCCCTGGAGCATGCAAATCCCTGGTCTCCAGGAATGGATCCTAGGCTAGATTTTTTTTTTTTTTTTAATTTTCCAAGCCCGAGAGCCCCTGCAGGGTCTCGACTTTGCTTGTCTACCGTGGGAGTGGCCCAGGGACCTGCCCTGTTGTCTTTGCCCCTCACTTTGTGGGGCCTCAGGTGCCTTTGGGGGCTACAAGGAGAATTGAGACCAGAAGCCCAGGCCTCAGTCCTCTGTGATGGAGGTCCCAGAGATTCTGTTCTAGGACATAGACGCTCTCAGCTCTGCCTTGGGGATAAC